TAGAAACGAATAAGAGAAGGATTTTGTGTAGACAAATGCATCAGAAAAAAAAACAAATGCAGACAGTTGCATAAATGGCTAATCAATTTCCCTCAAAGATAGCTTCAACATTTGTTCCTCACGAGGGATTCAGGGAATCCGTTCCTATTTTTTTCCTTTCGCGAAGTTTACCGAAAGTCTTCAAGCATCTCCTTGTTTTCCTTATTCACCAAGTACGAGGTTGTTAATTTGAATATTTATTCGGTACAGATGAACAGTACAATGAACTTGATCGTGATGGCTGACGATTCGCCTTCTTCGCCCTCTTCAGAACCTGAAAGAGTCAAGTTGATATGCAAAACACTCAGACAAGCACTTTCATAACCAGAGCAGAACAGCTTACGTACCTTTCTGTTTTATGGTTTGTGAGATGTTTTGTGGACCATCCTATAACAGCCTTGTGGGGACGAGCATTGTGCGTGAGGAACGGGGTTCTGTGACTTAGTTTAGAAGAACGATCTGAGATATGGCCCGAAGTCACGTGGTATGACGAGGCATTTGTCTTTGAGGTTCATCTTGGGGCTTTTGACGTGGATCCAAAACGCTTCGAGTGTTTTTCGCGCAAGTCTTTTGCTCACAGGCGAAGGTATTGACTAAGGCCCCAAAACCATTCTTGTTGTGTATCTGTATTTTGTGCGCCCTCAACGGAGTTTTCATGTCATTATTACGTAATTCGGTTAGGTGTTCTTCGCGGATATAAAGTGGTCTTCCCGTTTCGCCAATATTTTCGTATCCTCACGTTTTGCAAGAGATCAGGTAAACTGTGCCTGAGCTCATGCAGTCTCCGTCTTTTCCGTTTAAGCATATTATGCATCTTTTGTGGAACAGAGAAGATCGTATAGGCGGTTTGAACTAACTGGCGTTTCAGAGTCAGCGGTGGTACTTTGATCACGGTTACCGGTTGTTCTAAACCTGCCCTTTTCAAACATCGCCTAATAGCTGTACTTATTCCGAATGAAAGGTAGGATGAACGGGATCTTGTTGTCATTGCTTTTGTCGTTGGAGTGTTTAACTTTTCCTCTGAAGCGATCCTGATGTGCTACACTTTCGTAGCCATTGGAGATGGCTATTTTGTACGCTAAGTTCAAAGATTCTTCTTTCTCTTCTCCTCCTGAGCACCGCCGGAGGCTGTGCGGAACATGTTTCTTATAAGTGGTCGTTTGATGTGAGTAGGGTGAGAGTAGAGGTAATGAACCAAGATATTTTTATTACTTGGTTTTCGATACCATTTTGTTCTGTAGACATTTTTGGAAAGGTTAACTTGAACGTTGAGGAATGGAAGATCTTTATGGGGTTTTTCTCGGGTGAACTTTATGTACTGCGATTGTGCGTTAAGTAATTCAAAGCATTTGTCCATGTCCTCTTGTGTTGAACATTCGACAAAGCAGTCGTCAATATATCTGCAGTAGAGTCGTGGCCCGATATTGAGTACAGGGGCTTCGATTTTAGACATAAACACAATGGCAAGGCTTGGTGCCATTCGTTATCGCATCTCCAATCCTCTAAGTTGTTTGTAATGTGTTCCGGACCATCTGAACACTGAGCAGTTTAGGGAGTTCTTCAAGAGAAATCAGAGGAGAGGTCATTAAGCAGTTAATAGTGTTTCTGTTGAATTTCATCTCAACATACTTTGATTTGTTGTCGCTATGGTTTCTTACAGATATCAACTTAACCTGCTCGTGCAGTTGTCACAGAATTCTCTCAGCCTCCGATAAGTCGTTTGATAGTCTGCTCGAAATACTTGTAACAAATCCCAAGACCGACTGCCTACTGACCCCGGCATGCTTCTATATAATTCCTGATTTCTTCTTTGAGCCAAACACGACGTGTTACATAAACTTTATTTGACAGCTGGCGTTTCGGCAATTCACCTTCATTAGAGCCTGGAAAGGTCAAATTGTCCGCAACCAAACAATCAAACACCTCCATTACTCCTTTAGGAAAATCACCAGACCTAGATTTCAATAGCATCAAGCACAAAATCAGCTCTCAATATATTCACCGCTTTTTTTATGCGTTCCACTGAATGATCCAAGTGGGAATCACCGGAAGGAGATCACATAGGCTCGTAATGCACACAAATACTTGTGATTATTTCTTGAATTTTCTCAATAAATTCATGATTATATGGGTTATTCGATGTTTACAATTTTACGGAATCCAAGGTATCTGCGAGACTTATGGATGAAAATTCTTGTGACTGTTTAAGAGAGTGTTTTTTTTTCCGAAACATAATTTTTTTATCTTACATCTGTTTAGAATTCATTTTTCCTAGAAATTTGAAAAGAAAATTAGTTTTTGAAATTTCTGTCTCAGATGACTCAGGTGGAGTAGGCAGCTGCCAATGCCAACAAGGCAAAATTAAAATTACCATCATTACCACCGCTACCACCACATTCTGCTCAACGATAATCTTTTCCTTTCATCATTATTTGAGCCAACATGTCATGTGGTCTGGTAAGGGCTCTTGTACAGCCTGGGACACGTGTTTTCGTCCTTGCAGACTCATTAGCCGGGCAGATTCCGTCGTCTGTCGATCTTTTATAGTCAGTTCTCTCGGGAGCCTTACACTCCTTATAGAGAGTCATCGACGACGTACGCTTTACACTCTTATGTCAAGTGAAACATTCACTTAACACAGAGTGTTGTGCACTCGATTGCTCATTGGCTGGTATTTTTATCATAATTACACCTTTATCTCGAGTGCTTTGTTTAGACCACGCTCAAATTTCAATATATCCTTTCATCATTATTTGACGGGTTCTGCCCGGCTGATGAGTCTGTAAGGACGAAACACGTGTATCGGGCTGTACAAGAGCCCTTACCAGACCACACGACATGTTGACTCAAATAATGATGAAAGGATATATTGAAATTTGAGCGTGGTCTAAACAAAGCACTCGAGACAAAGGGATAATCTTTTCGTTTGTTCAGTTTTTTCCTTACTTAAGATATGAGGATCGAGTAGAAGAGCTTTATGGGCCTTAGAAAATTAGAATTCAGTGGTTGTCATGTGCACAATGTGTGGTTTTTTAACAATGATCTACAAACTTTAATGGCTCTTATTTCAATTGTAATAAAGCACCTGCAAGTGGAGATATATTAGTTCATTTGAAAATGAGCGGCACTTATTATTATTTTTGTTTCAGTTGAATCAAAGAATTCCTTATTTTACCTCTTTGATAGCAGTGTTATGATGTTATAACTACAGCACAAAAAGAATGTCGATGATATGCAAAACCTTGAACTTCGGGCTATAGTTGAGCATTCGTGTCCCACTTTTACCTGATCTTGAGTTATAGATGACTTTAAAAACAGCAAAGATGTTGAGTGATATGCAAAATTTCAAACGTCAGACAGGAATCGAACCAGTATCTCTTCCTTTTCGGGATTGCTGACAGATTGATGCTTTGTGTCGAAGATAAACTAATAGTTGAACAGGAATGTCGGTAGTGCAACTGGTTAGCATACGTGTCCGGAAAGGCCGGAGCACGGGTTTGAATCCGGCCTGACATTCAAGGTTTTGCATATCACTCAACGTTATTGAATATATATTTGTAACATTGTACCACTGCTAAAAGCGGTCAATAAAAAAATTCGTTTACATCGTATACAGTTGCGAATGTGTTAAAATTCATCTACTCTGAAATGAATGCATATGGCACCATCATAAAATATATTTGAGATTTATTTCAGATCTCATATCGATTTTTTTCGTATTCACTGGAGTAGGTCAAGGCGTTTTTCTCAGTCTGACCGTGAGCGCTGTCGTTGAGAATTTCATTTCGTGTTTCTCTGTTCATTTGTTTTCATTAAACCGTTTTTTCGAAGATTTCAAGGATACAAGCAGTGCAATTCTAGTTCATGGGGTTTTTTCTTTTCGCAGTCATTGAATTTCCTATTGTAATTTGGGTTTTTTTTTTTCGTTCTTGAACGAGTTTTTATTCCGTGTTTGCAGTGCATTCATCAACCTCAATAATGTGTTTTTTTACTTCGGTAGTTGTAATTGTTTTGATTGTGATTATTATTGATCCTGTTGCTTGACTCGGTTATAACAAAATATTTTTATAATCATCGTATTGACGATATTGTTGATCTACTTTCATTCATTATCTTTACGAGTGTTCTTTATTAGTGGTATGGTGTCATTAGGTTGAAAAGGAAGTTCTGCGGCACTTCAATGAGCATGAGATAGCTCCCATGCTTAAGATCACGGAAATATTGCAGTTTCTAAGTGGGTTTTTCTCGCCGAAGACCTAGACATTATTCGTCTTTGTTTTCACTTTGTTACAAGCCTCCGCCATGTCCAACGATCCAATTGAAGTTCGTGTTCTATTGCGTCATCATTGAAGAAAGGGTCTTTCACAGCGAGCTGCAGTCGACGAAATCAATGAAGCTGAAGGGAAAAGTGCAACTTGGCAAATCTCTTTCTGGACGCTGGTTTCAGCGCATCCCATTGCCGGAGATCTTACCCTCGGAGAAAAGCCTCGTTCAGGACGTCTAAAGTAAAAGTTGAACAGCAAAGGTCGTCAAGTGCTCGCGAAGTGCAACCGAACTTGATGTTTGTGAAACAACTATGCTAACTCAATGATGTATAGTGATGTACAAAACTTTCGCGTCAAACGGGACTAGAGCCCGCACCTCAATTTTTCCTGGAATGCGTAGAGTAGAAAGAGCGGTGTGTGAAATGGGCGTCAGTAGTGTAACGGATAGAGCACGCATTCCCGGAAAGAATGAGGTGTGGGTTCTAGTCCCGCCTGAGGCGAAACTTTGCACATCACTCTACATCTGGGTATCTATTTGAAACATTGTAACACCGCTTGAAGCGGTTACATCTCCACTAGCTTTGAAAAGTAGTTACTAATGTTTTTACTCGAAATTTCTAGTGTGTTTACTGCACTTTTTGCTGAGTTATGATGTTGCATGCATACCTAAGAGAATTGAGTGATGATCAAAAGTACGACCTCCGACGGGAATCGAACCCGCGTTTCATCCATACCGGGGACGAGTGCTCCATCACTACACCACCGAGGCACATTTGCATCACCACTCATTCTTCATCATCTCAATGTTAACTGTCACCCACCAACCTTTACCAAGTTTGGTCGGTTATGCGATTTCGCTTTATAAACCCAGTTGGGCTGACAACATAGAGACATTGAGATAGACACATGGAGACTAACATAGAGATGTAGATAGAGACTAAGACATTTTTTAGGTATATATATATATATATATATATATATATATATATATTATATATATCACCTGTATCACCTGTCGTCCCGTTGATCGTCGAGTGACTCGAGCGGGTACCAGCAAACTCTTCCATTTTTCCCTCTCGCGTGCAAGAGTAGCCCAGTGGGTCCTCCTTGCTCTAGGGATTCGCTGAGCATCATATCTTTCTTCTATCGCTTTCGTGAAAAAATCGGACTAACGGGTCAGTGGTTTTCCTTTAGAGCGCTTGATGTCCCGAGGAATCCAGTCGGTAACGGCTCTCGTCCATCGGTTGTCGTTGAAGCGCAACACGTGTCCGGCCCACCTTATTTTCGATATCCTGCCGTGTAGAACGGCGTCTCTGATTTTCGATCGTTGACGTAGGTCGGAACTTTATATATATATATATATATATATATATATATATATATATATATGTATATATGAAACATCATATACACATATATATATCATATATATTATATGTATATATATGAAACATTATATACACACATATATATATATGAAAACATTATAAGACTGCGAAAAATGCAGAAAAAATACGATAACTTTCGAGCATTAGTTGATGGAATAACTGCCAGCTCAACTGGGTTTATAAAGCGAAGTCACATAGTCGACCACACTTGGTAAAGTTTGGTAGCTGACAGTTAACATTGCGATGTTGAAGAATGAGTGGTGGTGCGAATGTACATCGGTGCTTGGTTTAGTGGTAGCACGTGTCCTCGGATAGGATGAAGAGCGCGCTCGATTACCATCTGAGGTATTTTGCTCACCACTCAGTCCTCTTAGGTATGATAGTACTTTTGTTTGAATTATACATAAAATTTCAATTTTTTTACACGTGCCTCAAAACTTTCTTTCCGACCTAAGATGAAAGTCATCCAACAGTAGGGAGTGGTGTGAAAAATTTGCGTTTAACCTAAACCAGGGCACGTGCTACAACTATACTACCAATGTCACCGCTCTGCTACCACTCTTTCTTTGATATATTCTATCGTAGCTGTTAGCAACCTACCTTTAACAGCTTTGGTCGGGTAAGCACTAATTAGCATTGAACCTAGGTAGGCTAACAGCTGCACGAAATGGTTTTTATTTGGCTTAGGCTTACGTTTCTAGTGTTTTCTCAAAACCAAGCCCAAAATTTCAATATACCCAATAATTCTTTTTGAGCCAACATGTCATGTGGTCTTTCATGGGCAATACTTATAGAGACACCAACACACGTGTTTCGGTCTTGACAGCTTCGTCAGCTGGGAAGTATTCTTCGTCATAGCCAATCCTCTTGGAGATGTCCCTCATTATGAGATATATTGAGATTTTAATCGAAAGATTAATCTACTTCCGAATTAATTTTTTGACAATGCAATTTTTATTAAAATAAGGATGCGTAGATATATCTGAAATCCGACGCAGACTCGGAATCTGATGTGACTTCAAGCAAGCTGTTACCCTCTGCGGAGGGTCACGTGTTATCCAAGACGTCATGGAAATTCTTCCTCTGCCAATCTGTTAGCAATTTTTCAATCTTATCGGTGGTATGAGCAGTCACTCGTCACGGTTTCAATGCCCATTCATGCTCCCTGGATCATTTCTGTGTATAACCCGTGAGCCATCGAAAAGGGTAATCGCTGGTTTTGAGTCACTTGAAGTTCCAACTTTTGCTTGTAATTTAGCAGTCTTCTGATTGTATCTCACATCGTACTTTGCCATAAAAAGGATAGGCAATAGATAAAAGTATATGGTTAATTTTTTTGGTAGATAACCAGTCGTTGGCCCGTGTTTTGCCCACGTGAAGATCATGCGATGACGAAAACGATCTGCTTTCTCTCTCGTTTTTTCTTCTCGCAACATTTCGTTATCCAAAGCATTTTCTCATGTCCTTCCTTTCAATTGAACCTTGAGTGTGATATTGATTTAATCAGCTACCTTCATATTCTCAAATTTTCTAAGATTTGGCTTACAAGTTGCTTTTACTATACTACTTTTGTAAAACTTATTTTGATCACCTCCAAGTGAACAATTTCTCTCGAGTCTTTATTTTGTTTCGTTTTCTTCGAGAATCATTTGTCATCAAATTTACGTATTTGTTACCATCTAATCAGTTGTGATTTACCACAATTTTTCTGTGTATATATTTGCCTGGAATGGCTTTTTTTCTTGACATGTTTGAGCTGCACGCAATGGAAGTTCAAGCACTTTTGTGATCATGTTCATCTCTTTCCTTTCCTATCATTTTCAATCTTTTATTGGTCTCTATGTGGTAACTTAAGAGCGCATGTGGCGCAGTGGTTAGAGGTGCCCTGCGTCGCACACGAGGTCACTGGTTCGATCTTGCGCTCATGGCTCACCAAGCCATCCATCTCTCCGAGATCGGTAAACTGGTACCAGAGCAGGTCTCAGACTTGTCTGGGAGGATAAGCAGCACTGACTCGGTGCAGCGGGAGGCCACCGCGAGTCATTGTAAAGGCCTGATGTGCATTCAATCACCTCAAACGAAGTTAGAAATTGAAGTCGAATGCATGGCGCATCCCTCAGGGATTGATCAACACGCCGAGAGCTTTATCCTTTTATCCTTTATAAGGTAACTTATGAGAGTATTCTCCAGTGATCCTGAATTCGTTCCTAACGATAGCTTCAGTTCACTGTTATGAGTCTCAGCCAGATCCGCTCATCCTTAGAAATTACATTCTCTTACGGTCTATTCTGGTAATGTCTTCTACGATTTGTCATCAGCTCCTCTCTCAACGGGGCCAGCACCGTTTAGACTTCAATTCCGATGCTTTTTTGTAGGGTTTTGATATGAGAAAGTTTTTAAGCGTTTGAACTGCACCATCTGAGTCGATGTTGTATATGCTGATTATCGAACTGTCTGATAACATATCTTGAGCTTTTCATGAGATCTTTATGGCACGTGTTTCACCTACCAGCCTCATCAGTGGCACGGTGGCTTTAGAATCTGTTAGTCTCTCGGGGACATACCCTTACAGAAAGAAATTGACTCCAAACTGTTTACAATTAATGTACTACGGTAAGCGAATCACTTTGGCGTTCTTTCAAAGTGGATGATTGTCGAATGGAGATTTCATGGCTTACGGCTGTCACAGAGCTTATGTAACAGTACGTTCCAATCGACTATTTTGAGACTTCCCTTACTAGTACATCCTCACAATATTTTTCTTAGTACGTTGATGTAACCACAACAGGACCGGGCCTCGCACTGGACGCGCATTTCTTCTTGATCAAAGGTGTGTAAGGTTCCGAAAGCGCGATGGCTTTATCCGACGTTGAAAAAATCACATCTACATACCGAAGCAAAGAATACACGCTCCGCGCGAAATTCACTTATCAAATGGTTATTAAAAGTCTTAGGGAAAAGCTTTGCCCATCAAAAAATGCTCAGTTGTGAAACATACTATATTTACTCTCACAGCGTAATCTGCGGACTATTCTCAAGAAAAAAAATTACATTGTTGAAATTCTCGAGAATCAAGACATCGAATGACTATTAAGGGTGGAATTAAGCAAATGTTTTTTCCAACGGGTTGGAAATGAGTGCGAAAAGGGAAAATACCTTCTCTGATACGAGAAAATTATCAATCATCCGAACTATATCGTTTAGTTCGATATTGTGTGTGGTGTCCATCAAACTATATCTCAAAAGACGTTGTTCACTGCTGTATCAATCATGGTTATGTGTCTTAAATCCCATATTTTGGGAGCTGCTAGGTCGGAAAAGTGAGTACGTAGTTTCATATCCGTCAGCTGATTGATAGATTCATTGTAAGACCGAAATCATCCTTAGCGTTCTTCAATTTCGATGCTGTTTTTTTCTGAATTTATTTGTTGAAAATCCTAGAAACTAGTGATGTGGCGGAATCTCATAAATTCATTTCTCCTCTTTATCTATAAACTCTTTGCTCTGTTGAGTTACACTCAGAGCACCTTTTCTGATTAGATGGTATTCATCGAAAAGGCAGCGTCATCAATGGCGCGGTCTTGTAATGATAGGATTTTTCCATTAGGTTGTTCTCCACGTGGTACCTAAATGATTCCATTGTTTTGTCCAGTGATGATATAAATCACCTGAAATTTCTGTTTTGGATGAATGCAGTAATTGAATAGCAAGCTTCATTAGGATGATATCCAAAATAGAGATACGTCCATAACATTTTCACAGTTGGTATGTTAGTTCTAGAGCAGGTGATGTAATATATATGACGCAGTAATGTAATCCTTCTTTGGTCCAGAAGCGACTCGTGCACCAGAATCTTCACTCAAGTTGTTGTTTCAATCGCCTGGTTTTATCAAGAGTCCCGATAGACCATGCTCAGTCAGATAATTATCAAGAGCCATATAGACAGCTCAGAAGCCGAATGGGACAGGTGGAAGGATCTTCGGTGATCTTTTATGACTGTGGGGGAGTTTCTGCAGTGGTGTTCTTAATTTTTTATATGCTATCATAACATATTTGTTTACGTTAAGTCGCTGTAATTGATGACTGGCGACCGAAGAATGTCGTTCATATTTTGTCTATTATTGAATTCTGACCTTTCCTTCTGCGCACGCATTCAATCGTAGTTTTAATTTTGTAAGGGAGAGCTAAAGTTCACGCTTCAACGAAATTCCATGGTTCAGTACGGAGTTTGCGGAGGTGAGAATCTCTTTTCCGTTTTGCAAGGCTTATTGTTGTATTCACATTATAATCTTTATCATTAGGGTGATGCAAAAGTAATTACGGCTTAAGGCCACACTGAAATCGCATTTACTTTTGTACATTGCTTTGATTGGCGAAAATG